AAAAAACAAGTCCCGGTAGCTGCTGCATACGCATGATAGAGAGCTATGGCTTGTTATATATATGGAAAATTCTTTCACTATTGGTTCTTAAACTACGGTGGCAGCATAATGGAAAAGGATAAGTTTGTTGACATCGAGCATATCAGAGCGTATTTCAATAGAGGTTCCAAGGCAACTGTTTATTTCATGTTTTGACTTTGTTAGGAACGTATACTCTAAAAAACAATCAGTTTTCTTGGAATCCTATAGAAGGTTTCCGGGTTTGTCACTATATGAAACCCTTCATAGGTTTCTGAGAAGGATTTCCAACCTCTCAGAAACCTATCGGAAACCATTAAAAACGACTGAAAAAGCTCAAGGTTTTGGAAATTCCAGTAGAGATTTCTGGAATTTCGACAACCATTTATAGTCAGTTTAAAAAGTAATCGGACACTTGACTTCACTCCCATCCTTCCAGACAAGTCATATTGGTCAATGCAATATAAACTGCATGGATTTTTTCAAAATATCCTGGGAGTGTAGCTGAGAGATTGTGTTAAAATTTTTCGCTCAATGCAATCACATTTGAGGAAGGTATTCACCAAGCAAAGATCAAAACTAACTAATTTGGTTATCCAAAATTCTCTATAGACGTTACTTCTGTATAATTCAGTTCTTTTTGTTTGAAAGAGATTGTCAAGATGGGCGTGAGTGTGGGTGTGAAGGTGGGTATGTGTCTCTTGTGTACAGCTATTCTCACATCCACATTCACACCCACATTTGAGTCTAAGAACTGAGATGATAAAAGAAAAATCGAAACTCGAGCAAAAAGTTGAATTCCTGATGATGGAACATTCCCAACTGATTCTCACCGTTCGAACTCACATTTTGTTTGTGGCTAGAGGTGATCATGTATATAAATTATCTAAAAGGGTTCCTGCCATGGTTGCTTCGTTACAGATTTACGAGCGGAACAAGTCTCATAGTAGCTGGCGGCACATTCTCTGTCTTATTCCTTTTTGTTTTATTTTTTTCGTATCTGAACCAAAACATTTTTTTCAGTTGAACATGTGATGATCGACTTATTCCATTTATCACTATTCGCTCTAAAGTTCTTAGTTGAATATGATGATGCGTTTAGAGGAGTTCTTCTGGCGACTATTCTGTTACAAGCATATAACATACTACGCATTCTTGAAGAAAAAATAGAACACATTTTTCTTTACATTCTACAGAATAGAACTCTTTTATTATATCGAGTACAATTTTTGAATTTTGTTACTTGGCTATGACCTTTTTCGATCACTGAAGAAGCCAACTACTAATAGAAAAAAAATCTAGAAAAAAAGACGATAACCTGCATAACATATCAAAAGTATTATCAAATTTCATTTTATTTTCAATTTGGTTACAATGCGCCATCGACAATTACTCTTGATGAACAATATGTTGCTCGAAATTTATTCAACTGTTTAAATTCCATTCTCGAAAGTACTTCGTATCTTTTTGAAAATGAAACTACACTTGATCATGACAATGTATTAGATGCTCCCAATTCCCAAGATCCTGCTTCAACAATGCCAGCATTTAAACGTCTTGATGTGTCACCTAATATTGATTATCAACTTATTGACGAACATAATTTCGAAAATCATTTTTCGCTGGACTACATGAAACGTGCTGTGAATTATTTTGATGAAAAAGATCCACTCACAGGACAACGTAAAAGAAATTGGTGTATTGTAAAACACATGTTTCGACGCATTCCAAATCCTCAATATGTTACTCGTTTTCGAAAATATATTGAAATCGGTGGTACAAAAAAAAAGAATACCACAGAGAATGCGGCACCATCTACTACGATATTAATTGCGCTCGTAACTCTGTAACCAAGCAGCAATAGCACGAATCCTTTT